TAGTCACTAGACCAGCCCTCTCATGCTTACTGTCTGGACCCTTTACATTGCAATATTGTCGGATAATATCAGTAATTACATCTAGTAGATAGCCACTAGATCAGCCCTAGTATTATAAGACTTTCGATATTATCCGAAAAGACCGGCCTAGTTCATCAGTGACTGCATTTCTTAATATCCGATATAATAATACTATCGAAATTCCTTTCACTATACAGCTCAAAGTAAAATTACCGAATTAACAGAGTGGGGGCTTAAGTTTAATTCAAAATTTTCATCATTTTCTTTATCTTAAATCCACGTAAATAACAAACATAATTGGAGAAATGACAAAAACAAATTTAATTGTCAATTAATATGATATTGATATATCTTCTTTTTCAGATTTAAGAAGCTTTATCAACAACACTAATCATTTTCTAATCTGCTAGCTAAAAGTTGCTAGGCTATATGAAAAATCCATTATGAAACGAAACGTACTAGTGGAGATCTAAATTGAAAGACTAGTTTATGTGGAATTGAATTTGACCAAGATACTGTATGATTCTTTTTTTCAACTATTGATTTTTTTCAATTTTATCACATAAATTGAACGAATATGTAGAAGCATCTTGATGATTATTAGACATAACAAGCATAAGTAACATCAAAGTCGTTCTTGACCATAAAAACGTTACATACATTTATTCGTACTAATTTTCGCGAGCACTTAATTTCGCGAATTTTAAACACAAATATTTCGCAAGCATTAATTTTCGCGATTTTGAAAAAAAAAAAGAATAAATTTAGTGCATTTAATTTCGCGAAAATTGAAAAACAGGCGGACAGAGAGACTTAAATTCCTTTTTCACTGAATGATTACTGAAGTGATTATAGAAGTGCATTAAATTTCGCGTGTATAATTTTTCGCGGATCCTATTAGTTTCGCGATTTTTTTTAATTCGCGAAAATCGCGAGATTAAAGCCTCGCGAAAATTAGTACGAATAAGGTAGGCCTTTTTTAGACCTTGAAAACTTGAAAACCTTTCCAAAGAACAAATTCATGCTAGAACAGTTATTTAGCAGAACAGACCCCGTCAGCTCCTCCTGAAAGTTTTTGTCTTTACACTTCGTTCCGGATGAATCTAGATGAGTAATCCACCTCTTGCATCTGGTCTGGATTCGTCATTAGTGAATTTTGCGTTGCTAAATCGAAGGGGGGGCGCGGATTCTGGCTAACTTTCTGCTTGAGAAAACGCCCCCCTTCTGGTAATTATTGCACAGTCCCTTATAGTGTCCTTTTCATAAATTTTATGTTTGTATTTATCTATTGTTTACTTTTTAACACTTTTTTTAATACTTCTCAACTATTAAAAGCTAGATATATACTAATACTTAAAAATACAGCCTTTTGCAAAAATTATGAGAATTGTCTAAATATCTAAATATTATAATATCTATATCCATATATTGTCCGGAACACGCGGGTTTGCTAGAATAATTCATTGTTGACATCGAGAAAATGTTCAGAACTACGGATAAGTCTGTCGCCAAAAAAAAAAAAAAAACTACAAAGACAAGGGACTAAGAGCATCGCGCGGGATTACCTATCATGCACTCGATATTATGATATTTAGATATTTCAACAATTCTCATAATTTTTGCAAAAGGCTGTATAATACTATATTTATATTTATTATATATACATGTATACAGCCGTTTGCAATAATTCTGACCCCCCTACACTAATATTCATATATATCAAAATAGCCTTAGAARTTATGGGATACCATTGCTGATATATTTTTTAGAAAGTACTCATTCTGGACAACTCAAAAAATATATCAGTCATGATATCCCATAATATTAAAGGTCAGTTTGATATATATGAAATATGGCAGAGGGGGTCAGAATTATTGCAAACAGCTGTATTACAATGATAATAATATAATATTAATATATTATATTGGAAAGATAAAAGTCTGAAATGATCTACGATGGAATGGATGTACTCCTGAGTGTAAACGACCAATACAAGTTCCTAGGGAAATTTGAAAAGTTCAAGCAATTAGATGATGAAGTTTTTGAACAGGCAAGCAATGAATGATAGATTAAACATATGGTCATCCAACATCTCAATCCCATGAAAGATACAAGCAACGATAATTTTCATGCAATTTCATCGTCACAATATCAGAGGTGGGCGGCAAATTGGTGAATAAATGACTTAAAACTACTTAAACTGACTTCAAATGTCGGTAATTTTTGGAAGCGCAAGATTGCACTTTGTTAAAAACACCGTAATTACGCAAATTTTAAATAAAAAATATCATGGGAAACATAGCATAAAAAAACTTAAATCGAATGTGGCTCTCATATGGGCATTTGGTTCGCATTTCGGCAAATCTGTAAATATTTTCTATTGTTAAAACAAATATGTAGTTGTCTCTAGCTTAGTTTTTTTATTCAGACGTTTCGATCTGCTCTCAGATCTTCTCATACTCATACTTTCTATTGTATTATGTTGTAATCTGTTGTGTGTATGTATGTTAGATTGTGAGAAACAGTGTTTTTTTTTAATATGGCATTTTTACATTTTTCATTATGCCGCGATTTTCTTGCTTTTTTTATGATCAACTATATACAATTACAACAATGTGCCGTAATATTTCATATAGTCTACTGTCGACGTTCAAAGTTAAAAAGTGAAAAAACCTGTATCCATCAAATTAACTTTAACACTACACTAACACTATATAGATGCACACTTTCGTTAATACTCGATTACTTTTCGAGTAGTTACTACACCACTTGTAAATATATATACGCATATAGCTGGGGAGAATGAAACTATTGAGGGGGATTCGGAAAATATAGGGGTAGAATTGCCAAAATATCCTCAAATTCTTCTCCTTTGCTAGTTTTGTGGTCGCGCCACATCTGTTCGTCTAAAAACATCTGTAGATTTTGAGGTCTGATCCCTTTCTTGGTAGCGATTTTTAATTTCATTGTTGCCCAGCCAGACTCGCTTTCTTGGGTGTGAGCTCTGGTCACGGGGTTTAAAAAATGCCGATTGTGAACAACAACTCTGTGTATTGACACGTTTGGTGAATGCCTAGTAAGGTTTTCATAGGCTCCCCAGTCGTCTGTATGAAGTTCACTTCCGGGTTTTAACAGCATTTGAATTAAAGGGATCAGGGTAGCTCTGTCCCTTTTCTCCACGACTTGGAAGTAACCCCTGGCTGGCTGAAACTCAGTGGAGGAAATTCCAAAGACCCAGGTTTGTTTCTTGGCTCGCCGCCCCCTGTTGTACTGTAAGCAACAAAATATATTACAACACAGAACGCCTTAAGGAAAATTTCAGGAAATGCGTTTTAAACAGAAAGAGCTGTATGCAAAAACAGGAAAACTATTAAATCTTTTAAAGAGATTATGATATAAAAACTGAAAGAACAAAATTTTAAGTGCTAAATTGTTGTTGTAAAGCGCATTACATTTACGTTTGGGATCTCTGTGAGAGTACAAATGTGTGAATATACTTCATGTATCAATGATTGTGTCACATGGTCTACAAACTGACACCATACACTCGTCTATCTCATTTGGTACGTTGTCACTGCTTTAATAATAAGGCAGTAAGCCCGTTTTAATCTAGGAGTTAAACATTTGAAATACCAACTAAGTGTTACTCATATATTTATTTAAATTTGTTTTTGATGTTAGACATGTTAGAGTTTGGTTCGTATGGACAACATAGATCAATCATTATCACTGACCTTTGACTTATAAGTAAACATACTTTCGTCACATTTGCATATGTCATGCGGCCCTCCGAATGGATAAAATGGACGACGAATAATGTCCAAAGAACATATTCGTCTTAAAGCTTTGAACACTCGTGACACCAAGTGTTTGCTTATTCCCAAATGTCGCGCGGTTTTTACTACTCCGTCTTCAGCGGACCAAAAGTATAACACTTCAACCAAAATTTCCAGCTTGGTCTTCTGGAACTGCGAAAAAAAACTATTTGTTCGTAGACTTCTTTTCTTTCTGCATCTGTCACATTGCCTACGATAGAAAATAGTTAGTTAAAACTAACCTTATTTTAGGGATTATAAAGCATTTACTATTTACCAAAGCCAGCCGTCAATGTGTGTGCCGCGGCGTGGAGTGAGAACCATGTTACGCTGACAGTTTGCGCAAAAAACCGTGTAGATCATGTTTAGAGACATCATCCAGGTAATGACGTCGAAGCGAGATCGACGCAAGTAGCCTTGAAGAACCCTTATGTTCATAATTTACTCAAATATTCAATAATAATGTATATTAGTACAATGTAATTGTGGCGTATGTACAACTATTATGCAAGACACATCCGGAAATATGTTGTATTGGGACTTGTTGCACAATCATTTACGTCAACTTGACAGCTGCCAATCTACCATTTCCAGTTCATCCTTTTAAAGTTCCCTCGTGGCATCGAAATTGCTCACTAGTCAATCGCTACTTCTAGTGTTAAGATCTCTATTCTATATTCTTGTCTGTCTTGAGCGCGCCATGCCTCCGAAGCAATCTTCGCGTACCTACTCGAGGGAGTTTGTGGTCTTAAGACTCCAAGACCGAAGACACGGAGCTATTCCGCGGAAATCCAGGCTCACAGAACTGACCAAATGCGGTCGGGTGCAATCTATTAAGTTCACCGACCATGATACTTCTGATGCCATCCTGGCACTACTTACGTCAACGTTCCCTTGCCTGAGAGCAGAGGGGAATCTTGTGCACAGGTATTTATTTCTATGTTACTTCTACTACTACTAAATTTTTACTACTTTTACCACAATATTTCCACCACTCCGCTCGTTCACAAAAAAAGTGAAGTACAATGTTTTATTCTGTTCGATGACTTATCTTTCACATATAAAGGAATAAAATTAAACGTTTCAAAGCACATTTTACGAATTCAAAGTGCAATGATAAAATGATCTAGACTTCCTCTAAATAAATCTTGTTTCTATTTTTAAATGTTAGGATAGAGTTTTTAAAGGCCCAAAATAATGGGACATCAATGGACCCGGTGTTCGAGGGTGAGGTCCCTCATGGCTATAATCTTCGCACTGCATTTGCGTTAGCACGGCCGAAGATTTACGTATTTGTGCGGCCGATAGAGAGTATGTATATCGTTAATCGTTACCATTCATATTATTTAATTTGTCATTGTATTGTATTGTCACTGCAAAAGTATTTGCTGCGCAACTGCTGAAAATGTATGACGAAATTTGTCGCCCGTAGCCAAGTCACGCAATTTGTGAAATGACTCCCTTTTTTTCATGGGAAATCGTACTTCCGGTCTAGTGATGGAGTGGAATACGGCACGAATGTGTCTGGAATCAGGTTGTTAAAATTCCAAAAAAAAAAACACAAAGAAGGGATATCCTGCAAGCAAATATTTTATATATAGGTTATCATAATCATCTCACAGTTGCAGTTATATATTAATCAATGAATTGAAATCATGAAACTCATGTTCTCTTTAATTGTCCTTTCATAAGATAATGTCAAAGATGCTAGCAAACCAAAGTCACCAAAAACTGGTGGATCATCAACATCACAAGGCATTTCGAATCTTCAAGGAAAATGTAAGTCTGCGCATTGTGTCGTTTATTCGCATTATTTAATTTTATAAGTATGTTGTTATTGTAATTGATATATATTATAATTCATATACAGCCTTTTGCAAAAATTATGAGAATTGTTGAAATTACGTCTAAATATCATAATATCCATATCCATATATTGTCCGGAACACGCGGGTTTGCTATTCATTGTTGACATCGAGAAAATGTTCAGAACTACGGATAAGTCTGTCGCGAAAAAAACTAAACTACAAAGACAAGGAACAAAGGGCATCGCGCGGGATTACCCATCATGCACTTGATATTATGATATTTAGATATTTCAACAATTCTCATATTTTTTGCAAAAGGCTGTATCTTGAGTTGCATGTCTGTAATATTGCATTGGGCTGTTAGCATTAAAGGCCACCTGAGTTTTTCAAACCTTAAACTTATTAAGCTGCTTTCTTTCAGACGCGATTATCGACTCAGATGATAGTGATGGTGAAGGTAATAAACAGTGCAGAATTTTGTAGCGCACTAGACTGATTACAATAATGGGGAGGCGCGGTTAGTATCGGCAGAGTTTACACTCGACCCCCCTCCTCCCCCCCCCGTATCTGCTAGGCGTGGGCCCCCTCCTCCCCCCCCCTGTATCCGCCCACGCCTAGCAAAACTCCACCATTATACCCCAGACAATGAGACTATACCCTATCCTAGACAAAAAACTTCCCTAGCCCAGACAAAACTACTACCCTAACACAGAAAAATGGGCAAAAAATCGTTGAGTTCCGAATAAAATGACCCTATCGATCGGGCACTGGGATTTATACGAATAGTTCGCGCTCCCAAATCAAACAGAGCACTATATTGGTAAAAGAACCAAAGAAGCGCCTTGATAGTAATAATAGTTTTCCATGCTCACCTGTGATAATGGATCAAACTTTGGTTCCTATTTCTAAGTTGTTTAATCTACTTGTTTTATTTTTTACATATTTTTTTAGCTGAACTTAGAAACTTCCACGGAGAAGGGATAAAAGGTATGTCCGCGGATGAAAAGAAAACTTTTACTTTATTCCAAGTCAAGAGTATTGAATAATAAAAGTAGTACAAAATTTAACAATTATTGCTTAAAACGCATGCATTTAAAATATTATCTTACAGTTGGTTCGGTATCTTCAAGTTCCACGGACACTTAGCAAGGTAAGACAACTGCGTAGGTGATGAGGGGAACTTCTTCGAAAATAGCTTTTACTATCTACATTGAATCAGGACATGGAGCACGTTTCTGTATTTAACGTGGATTCTTGAACCAGACCAACTAATGAATAGCGCTAAACATTAGTTCTTATCAGCGTGAAACACATCTGAATGGGTAGAATGGGCGATATCTGGTCTATCACATTTGCGATCCCGGTTGAATTCAAGTAGAAATCATTTCATTATATCAAATATATGGTTGTAGGTCTGTGTGTTCATTATGATTTAAGCGGTACTTCAACCCAACAACCTAATCATAACATTTTATTATGCTTCATATGCCCCTCAGGATCTTTTTTATCCTTTTACTTTGATTTATCGTGACAGACATTGAAAGAACATTGGCAGACAATATCCAGGAATGGGTTACTGTGTTTCGTGGGACAGTTAAACAGGTAATTTGTGTCAGTTCAATTAATAATAGCATTACTAAAAATAGGTTCGGAATCAAAAAGCGCGATTACAAAAATGGACTTTCCGAAACCTCGTCCTCATGTTCTTCTCTATTTTTCTATTGTCTCGAAGGCATCAAAGCAAGCCCTCGCCAGTGGTAGGATGCTTGTTGTCGTGCAAAATCTCGATAGCGTAGGTTTTCTAAGGTAAGTGTTCTTAATGACTCTTAAATGTCTTTAACGATTCAGTCATGTTTTGTACGTATACGCAATTAACATGCGTGGCTTTCATTAACAGCTCATTGTTTTGGCAAATCCCATCATGGGACCTGCCCTTGGTGGTCGTTCCAAGAAACGACAGTGAAATGAAAGAAGGTAAGCCATTGCATTTATTCTAAAATTGATGTCTTCATACAACTCCATATCAGTACTTTCTATCCAATAAAAAAAAAAGAAAAAGAAATTAAATCCTGTATGATTTTACTGTGTTTTAATGTTTCCTGAGTTTTTAATCCCGTCACCAAGCTCATTAGCTAATCGCTAATCGCTTAAGAAACATATAATAATCAAAAAACTATTAAATATCGTAACTTATATGTGTGCTGTTGTTAGTTTAAGCTGAATTTGGACATGTGAAGACATGTACTATAGTCACTCCCAACGCAAGTGGGAGATGTGTCGTCGTGGCGGAAAACATCAGTAAGTTGTAACATATTTTGTTGTTTCTGTATCTTTATTCAATTTTCCGTTATCATATATATCTGACAATATTTGAATAAGATTCTGTTACATCACACAAACTACTTGCTAGTCAAGTGAAATTTATTCTGTAG